TGACAAATGCCTTATATTTTGAGATATAAATATAAAGCTTAGAATTTGACTTCCAGCTGAATATTATAGCACTTATCTGACTTAGRCCATGTTGACATCAAAACATGGTCTCTAAAGCCTGACATAGTGCATATGGCTTATAGTCGCCTCTTACGACAGGCATGCCGCGGGTATATTCGGTTTCCCCCCGCCCTGGAGGGGTCCCCCTACCCGCAGGGGGAAACATTATACAATAATAAACACGCCTATAATATGTTATGTATGCATATATATAGGTGAATTGATAATATCACAGTTTAAGTTGGTTAAGAATGACGCCAACCGCCCACTTAATAATGTTTTAGCCAATAGTGATACAATGGCAACCCTACATACTCTTCAAATAATGGATTTGTTAAAAACAACTAAAAGTGCGATAACTCACAAAATAAATCTGCTACCAAGATGCTATGGAAGATTTTTTTTAAGAACCGGTGTCAAAATTGGACAATGGACATATCACCAGAATCTCTCTCTACTTCAATAATATAATATGTCTCACAGATTAATTCCTATTGAATAACATTTGCGTATCTTGTTCGTATGCAACATTATTTTTTTCATGGTATAAAGTGTACCGACCTTCATCAAGATATCCCATTTTTCATATAATTTATATTTATGTGTCGAAAGTATTAAAAGTGCGATAACTGTCTAACGAAAAACATCAGAACCCTTGAATTCAACTTTAAAGATAATAACTACCATTCGACCGTATTCGGTGACCTCAATGCCTATAATTGGCTTACTTCGAAATCATCGGACTTTTTGCCACAATATATAAGATATCTTAACCAAATTCATTCCACATATTTTTTAAGTATATTGTAGAGCAGTACAGAAAATGGTTGAAACCGTGCGTGAAGCCGTATAATTATTTTCGTACTTTTAGTTGACCTTTTGATGAATGTATCGGTCAATTAATTAGCCATATTAACGAAACTAATGTCCAAATCACCATTGATAAAAACCAACTATAAAATGTGGTTTTTATATGCAAAATTTTTCAATGTAAAGTTTTGCCAACGCCTTTGATCCTTTCAGATTGTATGAGAGAAAATATTCGACTTCATTTGTTTATTGGGGCTTTAATTTCAATAATTAATTTCAGATGCGGCTTACGGACCCCATAACACGGATATCGAAAACATCTATGATATATTTGAAGAAGTTGCAAAATCATCTCCAAACAACGAAAAGTAAGTAGAACAAGAAAGGGTTAAGTTCGGATGCAACCGAACATTTTATACTCTTGAAACTTGCAATAATCAAAACCAGGGAAACATTTTAGGGTGTAAAAGCAATCATATAGAGAAAAGTCAGACGCATGTTTGAAAATCCTGATGTTAGCTATATAGGGGATATATAGGCCAAGTTTTCACTCAAATTTATCTATTTTAGGCAAAAAGATACACTGTTATGAGTAAAATACACTCTCACATTTCAACAATTTTCGGTCATAAGGTGGCATACACTAAAGATATAATTCGTGCACAGTTTTATCCCGTTATATTATTTGCTTCTTAATTTTGATTTAAAGTTGTGCTATATGGGAAACAGGCGTCCGATTTCGCTCATTTTCACAACGTGATATAGAAATATGGATGGATGGAGGATCGAGTCATGGTAGAAGTTCACGCAAGTGAGGAAAGTTCTCTGATCGCCATGCACTTGGGAGTGGCCAGAAACGATTCTTTTACATATGGCTCAAGCAGCTCACGACTTCCGGTCTTTGACCAAGTATCCTCTGGGTGGCCTAAGAACATCCGTTTGAAGGCGAGCTAAAGTGAGAAGGCGAAACATCCCTTACATATGGTTGTGCGCTGGCAAACGAATTAAGGACTATGATTTTAGGGCACCAGTTGCATGCCCGGTCCCTTGCTTGGGAAGGGGCCGCTGCCCAGATGGTTGATGTCCTCGTTAGAGTGATACCTAACATCACCGCCGTCCAAGAAATGCGATGCCAGGAGCGCAAGTTTCACTCCGGTGAATTAAAGTCTAGCCACAATCCGCATAAAAGCGAGGTTCTTCAACATATCGCTGATTTGCGCCAACGCCCCGACGGAAGAGAAGGACGATGTGACAAAAGATGCCTTCTATAAGCTCTTGGAGCGCACTTATGGGAGCTTCCCCCGCCAAGATGTCAAAATCGTGCTTGGCGATATTAATGCCAGGGTGGGCAAAGAAGGTATCTTTGGCACTACGGTCGTTAAATTCAGCCTCCACGAGGAAACATCTCCAAATGGGTTGAGGCTGATCAACTTCGCCGGGGCCCGAAATATAGTTATTTGTAGTACTAGATTCTAGCATAAGAAGATACATCAAGCTACCTGGCTGTTTCCGGATCGAAAAACCACCAACCAGAACGATCGTGTTGTGATAGACGGAGACACGTCTCCAGTGTTTTAGAGGTGCGTGCGGACTCGGACCATTATCTTGTTTCAGCCAAGACTCGCACCCGCCTCTGTGCAGCCAAAAACGTGCGCCATCAAACACAAGGAAGGTTCGACGTCGAGAAGCTGCAATCACAATGATTTCCTGCTCGTCTTGCACTCCTGCTCTCTGAGAGCACTCGTCAATAACTCGGTATGAGGGAACTGTGGGGCAGCATTTCAAACTCCTTGCGTACACCTACAACCGAAACCATTAGTTTTCGGAAAATGCAAAAGAAAAGCTGGCACGAAGAGGAGTGCCGTGTCGCAGTTGAGAGAAAACAGACTGCCCACCTCGCAACGTTATGATCGACCACAACACGTACGGTATGGGATAGATACCGAGAGTTGAAGAGGGAAGCGAGACACATTTGGAGACAGCCGAAATGCGTGAGTATCAAGAGCTTGACAAGCTGTCCCAGTCCACAAAAAGGGAGACCCCACAGTCTGCTCCAATTGCCTTTCCAATTAAGTCTCATAAACATCACGTACAATGTTCTATTGAACATACCGGCAAACAAACTGATTGGGACCATATCAGGGTGCTTTAGATCTGCAAAATCAACAACCGACCAGATATTCATCATTCGTCAAATCTTGAAAAAGACCCGTGAGGAAAAAAGAAATGACGCGCTTTATAAACTCGGCTATATGCGGTGACTACGCCAGTAAAGAAGAAGAATAAGGAATCCGCATACCAAGTTTCATCAAGATATCTTTATTTTTACGCAAAGCAAGGTTCGACGGACGGACAGACAGGCAATCAAACGGATTTCAACTTTTCTCGCCACCCTGATCGTTTATATATATATATATATAATCTTAAATCAATATCCACTAGTTTTAGCTGATACGTACAACCCAAGATTTATTAAGATATATCTATCATTCTTGCGTACAACCGTTAGGTGAGCAAAACTATAAAACTTAGTAGCAAATAGTTGCAAGAGTATAAATATTGAATTGTGGAAAATGTTTTGATTAAAACAATCTGTGTTGTAAATAACTCAACTAATATTAGGTCGAAAAAGTTTTTTCATATTTTGTCAACACATTGCATGGCACAATTCCGATTTCTTTAACGCCGCCATTTGAAGGTACCGTTGGAAAGAGCAAAAAAAATATAGTTATAGGTACCGCAAACGCTAAGTTTATGAGATATTCGACGTTAAAGTTCAAAGTTCCCCAAATTCAAACATTTCGAGAAGCTATCATACCACATTAAACACACTTTATTCACATTTTTCTCTTCAAATTAATTAAATGAAACTATAATTTTTTTTATACATTTTACACTTTTGGCAGGTTTTTTACCTAAGAAATCTTTATTTTTAAAATTACATTTTACACTCATAGTGAGCACCATTTGTATGTTCAAAGTTACGACGAAAAGGAGCGCTGCCATGTGATAATAAGGAAATTCGCTGAAATTCCTTTTTTCCCAAAAATTCCTCTATCCATGCATATGGATATGTTCTTTATTTAATTTAATAAAGAAATAAGTAATATTATATAGTAATATTATATAATAATATTATGTATATTGTCACTTAATATACAAAACAACGTATTATCAAAAATAAATGGAAATCGCTAACAGATATAATAACCAAAATTTAACCAATTTATAACGAAAACTCAATATATATTTTTGTATTTTTAACGCAGAAAGGAGTATGCTCGACTAGAAAAGAGTACTACGCGAAAGTACCTCAGTCATCCTGATACGATATAAATTTTTTTATTATTATAGAGTTTTAGTTATTTGTGTTTCTTAAATATTAATCACATATTATATATATGTGACCTGGTCTACGGAAAGGGGGCTTAGGTGTCAAAAAATCGAAAAAATCAATTTTCACTTTTTAGTTGATTCAGACGGAAGATGAGATTTTTAACAGCTGTTTCCCAGTTTTCGCACGTTAGCTCCCTTTTCGTAGACCAGGTCACATATACATACGTAGATGGAAAAAGTGTGCAACTCAATTATAACTTGAAAAATGTTGGAAAGCATTTTTTATTCTAATTAATGTATAAAAGAAGAATCACGCAAAAACAACCAAAGAAAAATCGTTAAGAATCCTACATATTTGGTGTTTAAGATGTGGCAACGCTCGTCTTGATCATAATTGTAAACAATCTAACGTTTGCAACGACGAGTGTGCTAAGTGATTTTTAAAGTAATAAATTTAGGTAAGACATTACAAAATAAAATTAAAATGTGAACTTATTTCAATATTTGGAGTTTATATTGAAATATACAGAATGAAAAAACGTGAATAAATTTAGTGAAAGATAGCTAAATACCATGTGTTATTAGTGCAAATTTTTGAACTTTTAATCGTGAATATTTTAAAAATATAAGTTATGTTTATGCTATTTTTCGATATTCCTCTTCTGGAGAAGCTCCCCTATCCGCACATACCGCATACGAAATACGAGAAGATTTTTTCGACTACCCAATATGACTGTGGTGGACAATACAGAATTTTATATTTGTTTTTCTTACCATATTTTATCTTAAACTCTGGCTCCGCAATCTGTCACACTCTTTTATTGTACGAGACGTAAGTCTACAGTCCATCACGAGACGTAAGAGTACAGTCCCAAGTTTAAAAATCAGGACAGTTATTTGAGGCACCCCGATTGGCTTCTTGTAAGCGTTTCGGGAAGTTAGAAGAAGAAGCGAAAAGTTTCAACTGAAAAACAATTCACATTTAACATAACACCAAAATTTCCCAATTCAGTCCCCATCTTGAAGGAGTAGAGCTATTGCTCTAGCCCTATCAAATATCTTAGGATTATCATAGATAAAAACATAAGCTAGACCTTGAGAACAGGACTTCTAAATCTGGAACTCCTCCATTCACCGACGGACTCATTGCGTTTGGTTATGCCAGCAGACAATAACCCTCAATGGATAACACGGTTAATATAGCATTATTTGGGTACGCAGTCATATAGGAATAGAAGGAAACGAAAAGGCAGACGAGTTGGTTCCTCGGGGACTATTCACTACTATTCAGCTCCTCCAAGGATCGTTTGAAGCAATGCACTCGATAGAAGCTCTTGGAATACTAGCAACACATAGCACCAAGCCACTTTAGGGTATCGTCTACTTTTAGGAAAAAGCTAACTTAGTAACGTCGTAGCAGTCATCACAGTATACATACTATTAAGATCCTTCCTTCAAAATATTTGAAGAGTGAACTCGGCGGAATGCAGAGTATACGCGGAGGATAATAAGACGCTGAAACATCACCTCTGCGAATGCTTCATCTTCGGGCGGAAATTTTTTTCATCAAATCCGCTGCGTTGCTAGATAAGACTTAATTTGATGACCGACCAGTTCCACGCATTTGAAATGAAATTTTGCTAATATAGTGTTTCGGGGTCTTTTATAACCATTCTTCCATATCATGCTCGGAGATCTATTACTTTTACTTGATTTCGTAAACGTCGAATACAAAATATCTTCTTTCCTTATTCCTTTGCTTATGCATTTCGCTAAGAGTACAATAATTCTAATGGAAAAAGATAGGAACGTAAAATAACATACTTCAAAAGGTCAGCGTGGACGATGGGTGCTACAAAACTTGCCATATGTGTGGTTTCCTTAATATGCATTTTAAAGTTTTTGATATACTAAAATTCTGTACACGTTTTCAAGAAGTTGTTTATTTGTGGGAGTCTCCGATATCAGACTACTATAGCATATAGGTACCATACAAATTGAATGGTCGGAATTATTTTAGCTTCGGTGCAGTCGATGTTAACGTTTTTTTCGTGTTTTTGATATCAAAATACAAAAAGAAAAAAAAAATATTGTAAAAAAACGCAAACTAACATACTTTTTATTTTGCCATCTAGGCGCTCATCACTTACATATGTTTTCCGGCATGGCTGCATATCTCGTGGCGGCGCTTGCGACAGTAGGCCCAATGACTGCTGCTACAATAGTTCGTGTCGCTGCAATCTCTGGGGCAGCAATTGTCGTTGTCAACGCATGGGACTTTTCCACAAGTGGGGCTAAGAGCCAATACATATAATAAAGATTTCAAACTACTGACAACTAATATTCGGTCAACATTAAAATCTTTAAACTAATTTATAGTATTTACTAATGCAAAGATTTCTACTATTATACAGAACTGTATATAAGAAAAATGGTTTACTGCACAAAAGAAAATACTTAAGTGGTAATATGGAAAAGCTTATAAACATCAACCCATGTAAAAAAGTACGTTGCAGAATGTTGTGCGACAAAACAACTTTTTAGCTCTAGTAAATATGACCATATATTAAATTGGTATGTAAACCCAACTAACACATGCAAAAACACAATTGTATGTATTAAATAACATAGTAGAAATATTACATATTTAAAATAACCGATTTTATTTAAAAATGCCATTGTTCGGAAATGTATTATGTTATGTAGATGTGTGTATGTATGTGTTGGGACTGTAAATTTGAGGATAGGGGATGATGACAATTTGTAAATAACATTGGTATTTTTGCGATTTTAGAAGAGAGAGGTTTGTAAGCTATTGAAAAGAAGACGCTTTCCCAACTAGATCGGAAGCCAATCGCAACCAACCTAGCTCCTTAAAAGTGTTTGTGTCTTATTCTCTTTCGATAAATTTTGCACTGCTGCACATATTTGAAAAAATTGAATAGTGAATAATTCATTTAATTCGCGTGTCAAAATTTCTAAAGCAGTTATCACTTAGCTGTGCAAAAACATGCTTTCATGAAACTTGTTACAGTATTTAGGTTGTTTAAGTTTATTTCGCCAGAATGAAAATTCACTGACGTTGCTCTAATTATCGCGGGAACCGACTCACTATATTGGTATCTCTTTGTAAGAAAAATAATAGTAGAAATATCAAAAGTCAATGCCATAATTGACTTACTAATGTGTATAAATTTTATTTCAAGGTTATGATGGACTCGTTTTTTGCGTTTCATGCACGGTATATAAAATCGCGAAAAGCGTTACTTAATACAGTAAGTAAAAAAAATGTTTGTACTTTTCAATTAACGAGTTCATATACATATATTCTGGGACGACCCTCTTTCTACGTATGATTATGTTTTACGTTTAGCTTAAGTGGTTAGGGGATAATGCATATTACATAGTTCTTATTCTTTATGTTATTTGGATTTGAGAACAACTGTTGCATTTTCAAGGACTAACAATAAGTAATAAAATCTTAAATAAATCAAGGTCTGTTTGGTGATACCTTGCTCTTCAGAAGGCTGATAGATCTTTCATCGGTTTTATTATCTAGTAACACTCTTAAATTGTCAGGACTCAGTTTAGATTTTTTATACATATACACAATAAACAGTCATTTTAAAGTTGCTGCTCTTATTTTCATGCTACTTATTTTGCTGGATGCATGTCCTTAAGAGTCTTCTGCCCAAGTGAATGCCAATTTAAGCAACATCGTTTTAATAGGCAAACACATTTTTGGTCTTGGTGAATATGAACATGTTTAAACTTTTGTTCATTTATGCTTTTTCGCAGACTATTTAATTTATTAATTGGACGGCCTTAACTTGACAAAAGCGCTAATTTTGACTTTTAATAATTAGAAAAAAAAAATACAAAATTAACAACACAAGCAAACTGATTTAGGGCGTCCACAAAAGTCGATGGCAATCCGTTATTACCAATCGGAATGACTGCTGTACATAAGATATATACATAGAATTCGGTCTAGTATACTTATCTGAGGTACATTAGCCTTATCGGTTACTTTGAGCGTAAATCCAACTTTTTTAATAAGACTCCAATTTTTTATTCAATTCGAAAGGGAATAATTTTTTAATTTTATATACAATAAAAGACCTTTATGCCAAACCTTAACGAATGACTGAGCTACTTTACGAAATATTACTGAACTATACTCTCTGTACTTGTTCTAATTTAGCAATTGTTTTTACTTGCTCTAAAGTGCCATGTTTTGCGCGAAATCGGAATAGGTTGGAATACTAATACAATTCCATGAAGGAAAGATGTCTTTGATAGTAGGAGTGTAGGCAGCTTATTGTTCTGTAAAAATACGCAGGGTTAATTTGGATAATATCCGAAAGTAAAAATTACATTAAAAGTCAGAAGAACATTACTACAGCAATACTTGATAGTTCCACAACATTTTTGGAGTAATTTTATCGTGTCTTGATGACTTTTTTGAAAGTCGTTTTTTGGACAATTAGGCCGAAATACTTTCTCTAGGTAGTATTTATGTCTGTTATTTACATCTCCCAACAACAGATATATATAACGATTATAATCGGTCACAATGATGTCCTTCGAATTGGTCGTCAATCGTTTGTGCGTAACAAACCGTGAACACACTGTGGGACGTCCACAATAATGTTTGATTTATTTGAATATAAAACTGATACAAAGGTTTGGAGACTGAAAATGTTGAGACGTGCTTGCAGCCGTGATGATGCGCCAAAAAAGGAAGATGGTGGTTCGTCAATCTGACAGCTTACTTTTGCAGAGTTGCATTTGGGGTTGCCACATCACTTTAGGGTTGCCGCATTACTTTCGGACTGTCACATTACTTTGGGGTTGCCACATCACTCCCCCCTATGCGGGAAAAGGAAAACGTACTCGACGACCAGAATTTGTTTGGTACTCTTTGTGTTGGATTGTTTGATTCGACGAGGTTTAGTAATCCTCGACGACGAAAGCTGACTTTAATCGGTCGATGGAAATGTTTACGTCCTTTTATCAGATTTTGACTTTGAAAAACTTGTCGCCACGTTCGATTACGGGAAATGGTCCCTCGTATGGTGGTTGAAGAGGTGGACGAATTGAGTCGTTGCGCTCGAAGACTGATGGTACGTGCGGTGAGTTATTTGTAGTTGGTGATGGCTTTAGTGACTGCATGCGTATGCGTAAATTTTCGACGAACTCACCTTCGTTGACATTGTGCGTATGTTTTTCGGAAAAAAATTGGCCAGGTAATCGAAGTGTATTTCCATAAACCATTTCTGCGGGTGTCACTCTTAAATCGTCTCTCCATGAGGAACGAAAACCTAGAAGGATGAGTGGGAGAACTTCGACCCAGTTGTTTGTCATGCAGCATTTTATCGCTACTTTTAATGATACGTGCCGTTGCTCGATAATCCCGTTTAATGCCTAAAAGTCTGGAAAGTTCTCGGAATAGTGTAGATTCAAACTGTCTACCTTAATCCGTTGTTACTCTACTCGGTACTCCAAATCTAGCGATCCAGTGTATGTAGAAATTGAAAGCAATGGTCTTACCTCACCTTACAAGGTGATAATGGTCCGACGATATCCATATTTATATGGTCAAATCGTTTCTCTGGTAACGTGAATGTCGACAATGGTGCCCTGTTGTGGCGCTGCACTTTAGCTCTTTGACACGGGATGCACTGCCTGGACCATAAGCGGCAATCTTTTCGGAGATTCGGCCACACGAATTTTTCTGCGATCAATTTTGTTGTTTTAGCGGCGCCGGTGTGTGCCATGTTATGTATGGAGTCGAAAGCTGTTTTAAACGAAGGAGTTAAGTACGGTCGTACTTGGCTGGTGCTAACGTCACAAGAGATGTCTATAGCGGTGCCTGGAATCGTAAAAGGTTTGATTAATAGGCGGGAATTCGAAGCTTGTAACTTTTTGAGCTCTGAGTCCACTTTTGACTCTCCGCAAGTTTAGCGAAGTCGATGGTGCTCGGAGTATGTATGGCGTCAATACGTGACATTGCATCAGCTACTACGTTTTCTCTTCCGGGGATGTACCGAATGTCTGTTGTGAATTGTGCGATAAATTCCGAGTGGTGCATTTGACGCGGAGATGCCTTTTCAAGCTTTTGCTGGTCGGTGAGGATGAAAAATTCTCTTCCTTCTAGCATATGTTGAAAATATTTCACTGCTTTGTATGCCGCTAATAGTTCACGATTGTAAGTGCTGTATCTAATTTGTGTTTCGGTAAGGCGTTCGGAATGCATCCACCGTCAAACTGAGTTGCGCACTGGGTTTTGGGTAAGCGAGTAAAGTAGCTTTGCATAAGTCATTTTTGCATTGTTGAAATGCCTCCTTTGCTTCAACTGTCCAATCAACTGGCGATGTGTCGTTTTTCTTGGCCCTTTTATGAGGTTGAGTAACGTCATTTGCCTTTCTGCGGCGCAGGGCAAAAATCTGCGGAAAAAGTTTACCATACCGAGAAAGCGTCGTAAATCACATGCTCTCAAAGGTAGGTTGAACTCATTCTTCTGGGGTCGAAATTCCACTGCTGTTTATTTTGAAACCTAAAAATTTTGCGACCGTGCAGGAATTGATTAAAATCGTGCAGGTGTAGCAGGGGGTACCTGTCAAGTTCGGTGACGATGTTTAGTCGCCTGAAATCTCTACAAGGCTTCCACTCGCCGTTTTTCTTCTTTGTCATGTGCAGCGGGCTGGCCCATGGGCGACAGATGCCTGCGTTCAGCAAAAGTTGTATCTCGGCTTTTGCGGCTTTTAACTTCTCGGGAGATAAGCGTCTCGGTTTAGAGAAGACTGGTAGTCCTTTGGTGACGATATGATGCGTGACAAAGTGTTGTGGTTTTTTGACTGAAAAGTTTTCCATCGTGATGTCTTCGAATTCCCTCAATAAATCCTGGAACGGATGATAATTTTTAGTGTAAGATAAATTGGAAACTACCTTTTTATTTGTTGATATTAAACACAGTCTGCTGGTGTTTGTGACGTTGTCGTAGATTGACCACTAAGTCGAAATGCGATAGAAAATCCGCTCCGATGATGGCTTGTGACACGTCGGCAAGGATGAAATTTCAGGAATATTGGCGACGTAGACCCAGATTGAGGAACATAGTTTTTTCGCCGTAAGTTTTTATAGTGGGCCTGTTTGCTGCGTAGAGGTAGTTGTTTTTGTCCGGGCATCTACGTTGTTGTTGCGTCGGTGGAATTACGCTGATTTCCGCTCCCGTGTCGATAAGAAAGTTCATTGCGGATTTTTTGTCTCGAAAGATTAATTTAACTTTTTTGCGCAAGGGCTACGACCCAGGCAGATGGTACCAGCACAAACCATTCGAATTGTTGTTTTGCATGCCGGAACGTGACGGAGGACGGTTTCTGCTGCGACTTCTAGGCCGACGATTTATGTTCGCCTATATTGAGGCTATCTCTTTTGAGATTTCGGCTAACTGCTGCTGGATGTCGGATTGGTTGCGTGTGGCTGTGTTTAGAGTTTCGACCGCGTGTACGTGTAGCGTGTCGCTAACCTCACATATTTTGTCCGCGAGCAGGGCAACTTTATCGAGCAGTTCGTTGCTGATAGAAATAATTAGTCGCATGTTGGAAGGTAACTGACTCATAAAAATGGACTTTAATATATTATCGTTGTCCTCGCTGCCGGGTAAACTTCGCATTTCGCGCAGGAGCTTCGATGGACGCATATCACCAAGCTCTTGTTCTTGCAGTAGCTTTTTTACACGATTTTGTTCCGAATCCGCGAATTGCGTTATTATACGTTTTTTTAGCGTGGAATACAAATCACTGTTCGGTGGATTGATAATTATGTCGCTTATTTGGTGTGGTACTTCGTTTTGTCGCTCGTTATGCCTGCTGCAATGAACTGCGACTCGACCTGTGCAATCCACAGTTGTGGCTTTGCGTGCCAGAATGGTGGGATCCTGATGGAAACTTTTGCCACTTTCACGTTGCGGGTTTGGACGTGCTCTGCCCATTGTCCCCGATGCTGCTCATTTTCTGTTACCTGTGTTGCCGCTTCTTCTTCCGTCATTTAACTTTTGTCGGGGTCACCAATATGTGGGATGTCCACAATAATGTTTGATTTATTTGAATATAAAACTGATATAAATTTTTGGAGACTGAAAATGTTGTTTGCAGCCGTGATGATGCGCCAAAAAAGGAAAATGGTGGTTCGTCAATTTGACAGCTTACTTTTGCAGAGTTTCATTTGGGGTTGCCACATCACTTTGGGGTTACCGTATTACTTTCGGGTTGCCACATTACTTTGGGGTTGCCACAACACTTTTCGTAAGCCCAAATGTTCGCTCAAAATCCGATAAATCGATGTTTTGGAGATGCTCAATTCAAACAATGTTGAAAACGTTAAAACCACTCCAAAATTTAATGTTGGCTCTTGGTTCGAAGCTCATTTTCCACCGTTAACACAAACATACTGACACTTAAAACGCAATAACTTCACTTCCAGTCAATGGAATGTTATGAAATTCCCACTGCACAATCAATAAAGATAGCAGATTCTAACGCACTAGTCGAAACATAGATGACGCCATCAGAAATCGGTTCGGTATTTGAAAAGAAAATAAATAATTTAGAAAATTTCCCAATTTCGAATCTTGCAACCTCTTGCTACAGTGTATAATAGTTTTGTTCACCCCTAAAACTAAGCGAATTAGATATAGGGTTATGTATATATAAATGATCAGGAGGACAAGAAAAGTTGAAATCCGGGTGGTTGTCTGTCAGTCTGTCATCCGTCTACGAGTTTGTAGATGATCGTAATCAGACCAATGCCACGCCCACAAGTCGCCATTAACCGACAACCTATAAAAGCCATGACAAAGCACTAAATTTCGTTATAATTTAGTACAGAAGATTGTAGTACCAACGGGCAATTTTTTTTTTAAAGTTGGTGTGGCCTCGTTCTTTAATAAGTTTAATGCATATACTATATATCTCCTAAACTACTAAAACTACAATAATAAAATTTGCTCAGCCTAAATATTATAAGACAGTATCCTACCGACAGTGCGAAAATGGAAGAAATCGGAAGATAAACCTGCTCAATCCCCATATAACCGTACTTTTCAAAACCACCAAAAGAGTAAAAAGTAATAACTAAATACACCAGGAACACTTAATTTTACTTCCCAAATGGTATGCGAAGGTTTCATGGAAACCGGTGTAAAAATTGGATAATGGGCTTAAATTACATATCTCGAGACCCGATTCTATGTTATTCATATTGTAATAGTGTTTCTGTGTGTCGAAATTGGGTGGAATCGGGTCTCCCTGAACCCCCATATACATAAACCATTCAGGTGACTTTATACTGAATATATTGGCCAATATATTAGCTATCTTAATGAAAATTACAGAACACTTATTACTTTCAACAGTATATACTTGTTCCTAAAATGGACGCAGTTGGACGAATGCTTGACTTACACACTTATATAACTATTACCAGGATTTTGAATGTTTTGAAAGCTGACTTAGCTCCATATGATTGATGTTGTATGAACGATTTTCGTTTTTCTGACAAATCTTATGCCGAATTTTTCAGTCAGAGTATGAGTCATAACTATATATTGTAGTATATATATATAAAATTCTTTGGATTTCGATCCTTTGGTTGTCGTTTCACATGTTAATTTCTCTGGCTTTAGATAACTTCAAGGCGGTCGTGGACAGTATCTTTAAATGATCAACATCAATATCAATACATAGTATAGAACAAAATTGTTTTTTCCGTCCCAATGTCCCTTTGTATGCTTAAATCTTTAAAACTACGCAATGGATTTTGATGCGGTTTTTTTTTTTAATAGATTGAGTGATTGAAAAGAAAGGTTTATTTTCATAATAACATCCTTTAAATATTGGAGAAATGCTGTTATCTTTGAGGTTTTTAATGTGATGTAGTCAATAATTACATTTTTCCACTTACATTGCAAAGCAGACTGAACCCTACGAGATTTATTATAACAATGTACTAAGGATTGTACACATTGAAAAGATCTTCAGAAATTCCGTGACGAAACATTTTTGTGACATTTACTTTTTACGACAAATAATAGCTAATTTTCGAAGTTATTTTAGCCAATACATACATATTTTAGCCTTTACTGCATATGATTTAAGTGATTATTTTCGAAGATATTACAGATTTAAAAATTGCGGGACGTAGCGTAGAATATTTAAACGGAAACGATGAAGTATATGCGTACAATTTCAAACTGATCCTTCCTCAAAAATACTACAATTGCTAAATATTTGGAAGAATATAACTGCAACCAAATAAGCAATGGATTATAACTGGAAAGAATACTTCTGTGTGAAATGATGATAGAGCCATGTGACAATAGAACGGATCAACGCAATAATTCGGTTTTATTACGATAAAAGTGGACTCAAACACTTATCAGAATCAGCTATACGTTGCTTTTGTCAACGGTTGATTTCCCTGGTGCGGAGCCTAAACTCAACGGTATTTTCCCCCAAAAAGCAATGCTTTATTAACACACGAAATGTTTTATGATTCACTTCTTTGTAAACTAACACAAGTGGCTTCACAAAAATGTTATATCTCAGCATTGTATACTGGCCACTGCAAGCTGAATAGGCATTTGTATAACATGGGCCTACCTCTTGCGCTAACTGCCGGTTCTGCGACAGAGAGCCTGAAACACCGGAACACCTGCTGATCGACTGCATAGCAGTCTGCAGACGCAGGAGTAAGGCCCTTGGATCCATGTTTCCGGATAGGGATCGCATCGCTCCACTAGCACCCGGTAGTCTATGAGGAACATCTAAACTGAGAAGGGCATTATCCTCTCCCCGCTACTGTTTAACTTCTACATCTTGAAACTTCCACAGCCACCAGAGGGGGTTTCCATAAACCCGGGCAATGGAATCGATGGCATGTGTTCAAAAGTAAACAGCTACCTCTCGGACCTTTCTCGTGTCCTACATGCACGGAACCTATCACTTTCCCCCACCAAACCCACAGCGACAATATTTATGAACTGGACGAAGAAGTATAAACTTGCGGTCGATGGCGTCAAAATTCCGACTCTCAATAATCCTAAGATTTTATGTGTAACATTTCATATTCAGCAAATTCATATAACCACTCCGAGCAGTGGCCAGTATGGCAGGCACTCACTCCGGGAAAAAAAACGTTGCCAGTGAACCTCTAGTTGATCCCAAAAAGTTATTACTACTACCTTTGCATATTAAATTAGGTTTAATGAAGAATTTTGTTAAGGCAACGGACAGAAATAGAAGAGGTTCTTGTATCTGAAACAAAAACTTCCAAGGATCATTGAAGCAAAAATTAAGAAGGCCATATTAGTGAGTCCGCAAATAAGATAACTAATGAAAGATGAAAGATTTGAGGAAATGCTCAATGAAACTGAAATACGCGTCTGGAGTGCCTTTAAAAGCGTTGTTACAAAATTTTCTTGGAAATGTGAAAGATCTTGTGACTGAATTACTTACTGCCTTAAAAAAATAGGTTGCAACATGCCCCTTAAAATTATTTATTTATTTATTTATACAAAGTTTACATAATAATTAATTATTATTTAAACTAAAGCAAACGCAGCACTAGCAGCAGAGGCTTTCGGCTGATACTCCCTTAAAATCAATTTTCTAAACTCCCATCTGGATTTTTCCCCGAAAATCTTGGAGCCGTAAGTGACGAACGTGGGGAACGGTTCCACCAAGATATTTATGCTATGGAGAAACGGTACCAAGGCAAGTGGAGTGCCAGTTTGCTAGCCGATTACTGCTGGACATTGTTAAAGGATACTCCAAAAACAAAACATCGCCGAAAAACGTCGACAATAAAATTTTAAGGCACTTTTTGGTTAATAAAATAACATTATAATAATAGATCTATCGCTTTTTTCCAAAATCTTCGTAGCAAAAAAACCATAGGGGGTAGAAGAAATCTGCTATTCCGCAATTGTGGCAATTTTTACATAACAAACACTTTGTTCTGTTGATGTCACAAAAAACAAGTGGATTTTTGTTTACCAGTGTAATCCTAACGATTGGTACTTTAGCTTAAAACTTTATCTCATTTGCCTTAAGCCAAAGTGTATGGTCAATGAATGTCTAATTTCATGCGTTGGCACTTGGGGCACATCCCCGTTGACACAACTTCTGACCGGTTAATCAATATTCCAATATTAGCGTCATTGTGGCTATGACAACCATTGAAAATTCTTTGCTGGAACAAGTTTAGCGGTGTATACGAGGTAGGTTCAAAAAGAAGTTGGACTTCAGTTTTATTAAAAACAATAGCATTCATATATTATTATGTATATGTACCATAAACGTCGTAAACGTTACATTTAATGCTAGGAATGGACCAGATGTGGGATCAGTTCAATAAATGAACAATTAATCTGTAGTCCGCTTTTAACGAATCGATATCTCCCTACTTAATCGATTTTAACCACCTTTTAATAATCGTGCAAATCTGTCGAAAGCGTCATATATGTATATGTACAGATTAAAATCGGCTCTGTTGAAACCGTAGTTAAGCCAATAATCTTTTACGGGCTCGTCTTGGAAAAACTACACTAGTTCAAGGACTATAACATATTCAAAGAGCGCCCCTCATCGATACACCAATTATGGGACACAATGCACAACGTGCACCAGTAGTCATAGCTGGTAACTGCATTGCAGTGAAAACTATTACTCGACTTAGTGAAGCTGGGTATATAAGGTGTTGTGTACAGGGACACATTTCCATTATGTCGATTCTATCCCCTACAATTTAGACCATTGCATCCCTGAACCTTAACCGGTTCCTCCTCTGCTCATAGAGATGCAGTGAGAACTAGAACTTGTGCGACTGCGAAATACTTTTTGATTAAAGTGAACCGTAAGAGGTTCTCCGAATTACTTGCACTCAGCAAAGTCAATCTCGCATCTAATGTAGGTGTTCTGACCGGACTGGTGTATGGAGTAAGACCAGGTGGAATCATCATATCACTTTCCCCTCTATTGTTTAGCTTTTGCCTGACTGTGATTGAAATATTTCGGTAAACACATCTTTCGGAAACCTGGACTTAACAAATTTGTGGTAAGCTTAAAACGCTTCGTCTATCTATGTGGTTATGCA